AAACTGATTTTGAGCTGCATATATACAAATTAATGGTGTATACAGAGTGTCCACTGTCAGCACTGTGCTAGAATTTTTTGTACTGGGGTACCTCTGAGGGAAATAGTCATAATCCAGTGAAGTAAAGGACACTTCATATTTGAGTCTATAACTTCTATTTAATTGTCTCATTTGATTATTTCTCTTCCAAAAGTGGCTATCATAGAGAAAATATACTAGTACATGTTGCTCACAAACAATGTTTCAATGAAAGAATGTTCTATTTAAATTTTACTTAGAAAGATGCATATATTCATATAAAAAAACAAATTTAAAATATCAGAGAAGAAAGGACCTTAAAATTAATTGAGCCCAGACCTTCTAATTTATGAAGGAGAAAACTGGAATACACAGAGATTAGGATTCATGCCCACTGGAAGCAGGCAGTAATTGGTAGATCAGGAAATGGCTTCTGTACTCTCTCCACAGTCCTATGAAGAGATTCCACTTCTCCAACGTGTTTGATTTCAGTCAACAGTTCTGTTTGTGAATGAATCAACTATTGAGGGTTGTGCTTACTTTATGTTTATTTTGTTCTACACTTACCAACTTTTATTTTCATAATTATAATCTAGTCTGGCTAATATTTTCTAAATACACATACCGTCTTTATTAGACATAGAATAGCCACTTCCCTCTAAAGGTACTTACTTAAGCAGACAGGCCCCCGAACCTGAGTACTTAAAATACAGAGTGAGCTTATTGGCTCTTCCACATAGCTGGGTGGCCTTGGGCAAGTTGTTTAATCCTTCATAGCTTAGTTTTGTTACCTGGAAATATGGAATTATGATTTTACCTACCTGCAGGAGTTGTATATATTAAATAAGTTAAACAAGTAAAGTTTTAAAAATAATACCTGGTACATATTAAAACTTCAATAGGCATTATTATTAATTGCACTGGCAAGAACCAAAATAATTGCAAGAGTTTAACCTAACTACATTTCAAAACTTTTTATAAAAACATATTGACCACTTGTTAAATATATATTATTATTTGCCATTCAACCTGTCTTCACTACATTTCACTTGATAATGCATTCTCAGAATATCAACATGTTTCTTGGAATAGTTAGGTAATTCAGACATCGCTAAATCAGGCCTCAAATTCAAAATTTACCATCTTATTCATTACTATATAAATAGTAATGAATCCTTTTAAGCTTTGTTGGAGTAAATCTAGAGCGACTTTAATCTAAAGCTATTTTAGCTTTATTATTAGGAAAATACCTTTCTAAGGACTCTACCCAATATTGCATGTGTGATGAGGTATTTCCACTTTGGCTGGGGGGAACACAAATTATTTCTAGCCCTGTGTGAAATCCAGGTATTTTTTTTTAACTTGATGCATTCCATTAGTTTTTTCCTCTGGCCTTGGGTATTTTTATTTATTTCATTGTCTTCATATTACTGTCTGTATATCTCTCCTCCAGAAATGTCTATAGTTTTAAAAACTGGAGCGGCAACTATGGAAAAGATAAAGTGTGGATTTCCACAGCACCACAGAGTAAAGTAAAACTCTTTATTCCTGTTATAGTTTTGAAGTATAACATTAGTTTCAACATGTAAACATCTCCACTTCTTTCTACCCAAGTTATAGATGATCATTTGGTAAATAGTCTGAGGAATTTATTGGTTCAACCAGGTATCTTATCAGCTTCCCATAATTCAAGCCCACCCTTTAGCTGTCTCACTTGCACTATCTACTTATGTCTACATTTGACACGATCACTTAGTGTTTGGTGAATTCTCAGAGGTGTTTAGTGTAATATTCAATGAAAGACTCAATCTTTTTCTTGATTTTAATAGAAACAAAAAATCTCAGCGCTGTCAAAAGAGCAATAAATGCACAGACAACATAGACTAAAAGTAACAGATTACAAAATGCTTGGGAGAATAAGAATGGCACATAAAATAAATAGGTGGAAGGTAAATAATATTTGGGGATGAAAGAGAAATGGGAAAATAATGAACAATATACACCATGCTTTGCCAGTGAGCTCAAAGGCAAAATCTTACAATGGATACTTCAGACAGACCTAGGAGGCTTTCTCTTTGAAACTTTTAAAAAGAACTTAGGTATACTGAGAATGTATTTGTGAATATACTCTTATGGTGGAAAAATATATATAATAAATAAATACATATAAACATATTATATATATATGTATAAAATAAAAATACACACTCATTGGCAAAGCAGGATATATATTATTCATTCTTTTCTTAGTGACAGGGGGGAAGGGACAAAAAATTCCTTTCCCATCACACAGATGGAAAGTAATTTTTGTCCAGTGCTAAAAATTCCTATGCTTGCCATGGCTGGGTGGCTCAGTTGGTTGGAGCATCCTTCTCTGTGCACCAAAAAGTTGTGTGTTCGATTCCCAGTCAGGGCACATACTTAGGTTGTGGGTTCCATACCCTGTCAGGCTCATACAGGAGGCAACCAATTGATGTTTCTCTCTCACATCAGTGTTTCTTTCTCTATCTCTCAAAAAAAATCAATAAAAACTTATCGGGTGAGGTTTTGAAAAATTGCTATACATCATTAAAACCAGCCCAATATGCCATCACTATCCCAAGTGGTACTTTCTGAATAGTGCTATATGATATTAACTACCAAAGGTGACCCCAAGTTTCCTGTAATAATTCCATATGGTGCCATCATTTATCAAGTCATCCTGGATCTATTTTTGTCTTAATTTTGCATTATTTCTAGAAATAACAAATCGAATAAGCTCACTATATTTTATAATATAGTAATTTGATTTGTTCTTGAGTAACTATTTTGGAATTTATTGATCAAATCTGTTATAATCATCTTAATGATTTTTTAGTTGTCTTAATCAGCTAGAGTCTTTAGGTTCTAATTTATCCTCTTAAAGAAGAATATAACATAAACTAGAGGCCTGGTGCATGAAATTCTACACGGGGGGGAGGGGGTCCCCACAGCCCAGCCTGCACCCTCTCCAATCCGGGACCCCTCCGAGGATGTCCGACTGCCGGTTTAGGCCCCATCCCCGGACCTAATCCTGGACCACTGGCTCCTAACTGCTCACCTGCCTGCCTGCCTGATTGCCCCTAACTGCCTCCCTGCTGGCCTAATCACCCCTAAACTGCCTCTGCCTGCTGGCCTGATTGCCCCCAACTACCCCCCCTGCCTGGTCGCCCCACGCAGCCTGCTGCTTGGTCGTTTGGTCACCCCTCACTAACCCCCTGCCGGCCTGGTCGCCCCACGCAACCTGTTTGGTCTTCTGTTCGGTTGTTTCGGTTGCGACGGTCACTTAGGCTTTTAGATAGATAGATATGAAATCCCGTGGATTCTAATTGTGCTGTGTCATATGGATTTTTCCCTGATAGAAAGGAGATCAGATGTCAGACAGCTATAAGAGAAAGGGTTGATTGCGCTCATTTTACTTCTCAGTGACAACTGAGTTGAAGGCGATCTTGAGGGTGTCAAGAAAACAAAATGGCAATGATTGCATCTCATCAAAAAGGCTGTCACTGCTAGCACAGTTGAACTCTTCTTATGTCTGCAACCAATCAAGGAGGAGAAGGTGACTTGACATTGAGAATTATCCCCAAGTGACCAAGTTCACCCTTTGGTGGAGAACCTCAGAAACGGAAAGTTTCCTTCCTTCCCCAGCACATCTTGCATATCAAGAATGTAAGGTCCCAAAGCCCACGGCAAACCTCAGAAGCTCAATAAGCAGCAATGAAGGGTAAATCCTGGGGCTTAAAATCCTGTGTGTTTGCCACTAAGTACCATGTCCACAATAGAAGGCGTGGACGCAAATAATACTAGAGCTGCAAATGCCCATCACTCAGGTTTATACTGCGAAGTGATCTGCCCTTTTAAAAGCCCGAATCCAGAAACCCACTCTGCCCCAAAGCAACCCTTGATTTTTCTCCTTGGTGGAAATTCACGGTTTCTCTTTGAGAAAGAGAATTCAGTCCTGTTTTCATCTATCTTCCTCCCAGCAGGCTGCTGTAGAAAACACACACACACACACACACACACACACGGATTTAAAAAGATTTCTTTTCACAGTCGCACCTACCCAGCTCAAACTCACAACCCTCATGACCCATGGTGCTCTGAGAAAGCAGCCTCTCCCGCACGTCTCCCTCTCCACCATGACGACCTCTGACTCCTCACTCCTTCTTAGAAAAAAAAAAAAAGTATAATTCTTTGCCTGCCTGGAAGACTGGGCAACCCGATCGATCGATTATAAAAAAGAAAAGAAAAATCGTAGCCTAGACACACGCCTTGCGCGCCACCGCCCGTGTCCGCGGGCAAAGCCCCAGGGAAGAAACTGGTTCGCCGTCTCCATCCTCAGAGCCCAGGGCCGTGCCCATTGGTCCCCACCTCCTCCGCCGGGGAGTTCTCCTCCCGCTAAGTGACTTCTCGGAAACGTTAGCGGATTCTGCTGAGCAGGGAGGGAGGAAGGGGTGATGGGGCTGGAGAGAGGTAAGGGAAGGGCTCTTCTGGCTGCTGGACACACGCGCGCGCGCGCACACACACACATACACATGCACACACACACATGCACGCCCCACCTCACCCCACCCCGAAGGGTAGCTGTAAATGAGAGGTCGCGACCCCTCCTCTGCCTCCTACTTGGCACAGAGTGGAAGGGCTACGGCTTCGCCAGCACCGCGCCCGGAGCTGGGTCCCGGCCCCAGGCGCCCAGGGGAGAGGAGCGCAGGAGGGAGGGTGGGACAGGTCTGCAGAGGGGCGGC